ATAACTAACTAAACATCAGCTAATTATAAGGGTTGTTTTAACAACCTTATAACAAACTCATTCATTTACAATTTTACCCTTATTAATAAGTTCTACAAGGTCACAACTTTGATTCTTGGTGGCAGTCAAGGTTTAGCGTTATAAGTTACATTAGGGTTTCGCTTAAATGTTGTCATGTGCATGGTTTTCTTTTTTGGGTATTACTTGGCATCGTAAATTTCTATAGACGTCTTGATGTATGATTAAAACCTATCTAATGAAATATCGTTTCTTAAAAATAGAAAAATTAAAAAAAAAAACCTTAATCCTTAAAAGATGATGCCCTTTTTTTTATAGAAACGATTCAATGTTGATTTACTTATGCAGCAGGTCGAAATTTTTAATTAAAATAAAGATTTACCAATGCAAAAGAAAAATAACCCAAATTCATAATAATTAATACCCAAAAAAAAATTAAAATGAAGACGAAGACAGGTATTGCTATGGTCAAGTTGAAAGTGGCTGTTTTCTATGTATGCCTCACAATATTCACGTTTATAGCAGCGAAATGAAGTGATGCGGATGAGCTAGCTTGCATTTACATATGGAGTTGAAAATCTTCAGCTACAGACTGAACATGTAGAGTTAAGCAACAATGTAATCATCGATCGATCCCAATTAATCATCAATTTGAAAATTATGAAAATCGTCAAATTAAAATGTTTACTAGTACTCCCCTTGTTAACTATTACAGTATTGAATTAGAGAGTCAAAATGTTGGTGTTAAAGGATGCATACAGCTAGCAAACGGATAAGATTGGCTAAAAAAGTCTAACATATGTATGAGTTCTTCATTACTTAGAATAGAACAACCACTTAGAATACCGAAACAGTTATTTACTAAGTCCCCCTTTGGCGGAGAAGGGTGGATCGTTTTACTGATAATATCTTCAGGGCCGAAATGGAGTCATTGATCTGGATTTGAACTTTGGATGTCAATAAAATCCCAAAGCAATATGAAACTGTATGTCTAATCTGTTGGGAGCAGCCTCTCCATAAATAGGGGTAAGGCTAGCCGACATTCACCTCTCCCAGACCCTGCGTAAAGCGGGAGCCTTGTGCACTGGGTACGACCTTTTATGTCTAATCTGGTTAAGTTTTTGAAGTTAAATATTTAAGCGAAGGTACAAACTAATTGAACAATTTTTTTTTTCTCTCTCTCTCTCTCTCTCTCTCTCTTAATGATGGGATCTAAATTCAAAATCTATTAATTTTAGTCGTCAAGGTAGCTTGTTTGGAACAATAAACCTATAAAATAATTGCATGCTATAGTCTCGTTTTGTCTAGAGGATTGGATTGGAATGGATAACCTTCTCAATTCAAGGCATATTGAGAAAATGGCGATTAGATCGACATGAGATGGGGATTAGACATGAGAAAATCTTCTCCACTCTAATCCCTTTCAGTAAAGTAGGCCACAATAGGATGATATTTTTCCAAGCACTACTACTATGGAGCTGGATTCTATTAATACCATTTTTGACAAATTAACATATGGTAATCATGTATTGGACTGGTTGTCACATCTTACTACGCTTTAATCCTTTTCCCTTTAACAAAATATCTACTCGTGTGTATTTGTACATTTTCTATTGGCTAGGACCATTTGGTTTCGTATCTACAAATCAAGTCTATGTATGTGTCCTCTCTTGATTAGTAGCCAAAATAACTAAAAGTGGTAAAGAATATACGACTCAGATTTTTATAAATCATATATGCGTGGCATTTAGAATGGGGTGTTCAATAACTTAAAAGGAAAAAAAAAAAAACTATTAAGATAATGCTTGATAAAGATTTTCATAAATCACACTTTTCTTAAGCATTTTGCACGCTTTTTTTTTATTTATTTATTTATGATCATCGGATTAATTAAATCAAACAAAAGCAATGAACATAGTTAAACATAAGGCTATCTCCAAGGGGGGTGGAAAACAAAAACCCAAAATTTAGGCCAAAAACATCTCCAAAGGATGTATTTTCCACGTGGGCCTCACGCAACAGATGCATTAGACTAGATAGATTGTTTGCGGATGAACGCACAAAACTCATTCCTTTTATGATCCAAATTATTGAGTCGTTGCCAATGGCTTGCACAAGTTCCTGGTTTTGATCCATTGTGACACGACTAGCTACATCAGTTTCCAACGGTTGTGATCCAAAGACTCAAATCCAATTTAATCAATTTTAACATAAGCTTAAATTTAAATCTAATAGTCAAATAATAATATTAATTAATCCAAATCAGATCAACACCAAAAATCTTCTGAAACTCTATAAGTACTCCTTCATTTGTTCACTAATTGATATATTTTCTCAACCAATTTTTTTTTCTTCAGAATTTGATTTTTTTTACATCAAAATGTTTGTAAAAATAAAACAAGATAGCTTATACAAAAACTAATTCTAAAATTATTAGCAAAAAAAGAATTTAACAAAATAAAAAAAATTAACAAATTATAAAATTGGGAATAGAAATTATAGGTCGCTTACCGTCTGAGGAAAAAACCAACTAACTTCAAACTTATGACTAGTTAAAAATAAGGGGCTCAATTCTGGGAGTTTAGATGCTTGAGTTCGAGAAGATCTAATTATGTAAAAAACTAAAAATGATAAGTTTATCATTTCAAATGACAAATTATTCTGCCGTAAAAAATTATCATAATTTGATATATGATTATGCTTGAAATTACAATTTTGCAAGTGTGTCAATGTCACAACATTAAGATGGAAATATGCCATAAACAAAAAAGTTTTGGTCAAATCTATCAAAATCAAATTTTGAAGCGAACAATTATTAAGCATTGTGGTTCAAAGCTCAAGTTCAAGTCTTTGAAGCAAAAACTAAAAAGTAGGTACCGAATCTTTGTTTCGCATGACAAGTTTTATGCCTTTTTTCAAAGCCAAAGCGGTCCAAACCATTCAGCTGCCGCCATCTAGCACCCGCACGTGGCAGAAATCAAAGTCCCCAAACTTCAAATCTAACTTAACACCCTATTGACCCACATTTGCACGTAGCCTTGTAAACTTGCCATTTATTTGGATCAGGATCCTCTCTTAAGCAAAGGGTGAGAATCCTCCTGACCAAGCTGATCGGATCATTGAAATTTTATCCAATGGTTACAAAAAGAAGACATTTTTAAAAATTATAATAATTGTAACCGTTGGATAAAATTTCAACGACCCTATAAATTTAGTCAGGAAGATCCTCACCCCTTGCTCTCCTATCCTGATTCATTTTATTTTACACAAAAAACATCGATTCCTACTTGTACTTGTCAAAACTGGATTCCCGCATACACCACATGTGATATATTAATCTTAAACCTCCTCTACGTGCCCCCATTTGACCCACGAAATATATTGTTGTTAGATGCCACGTTTGTAGTAAGTAGAAATTCGAAATATATCAAGACCTTTCTGCAGTCCTTTCCACCTCTCAAATCTTGACCAGGCCACATCATCAATTTAACAAATTCCCAATATAATTCAAATTAAATAAATCACAGAATAAAAAGTCATAACCCATGTATTTAAAAATGCCGTCATATCATACTTGAAAGTTAGCTGTTAGTGATTGATGAGTGAAAGAAACCATAATTCCTCACCTACCACACACGCACACGCACACGCACACGCACATCCAAAAGAACATTATTAAAAAGAAGAAAATTTTAACGAAAAGTTCCTGATACTGTTTATTTTAACGAAAAATCATATTTTTATTCTAAAAAGTCAATCATGGTACTATTCACTTACAATACATTTTTGTTATTTTCGTTAAAACTCAAAGTTTTCAAGCCATTTTCATTAATGTTCCTTAAAAAGAAATCAATAATCTGAACAACAAATACAACACTTTAATGGTTTTTTTTTAACAAGTCAGATATTATCTATTGTAAAGGTGAAGAAGTGTGCTAATTCTCTAAATAAGCTAGTAATAATATAATTCAAATTTACATTTGGTGAGAAGCGTACCTAAAACTTCTCATTTACAAGTAAAGAGAAATACCACTAGACAATAGTACTAAGTGGCAGTACTTTAATGGCTAAAAAATTTAGATTATACAAAAAATTTATTTCAGTTAGAATTCTGAGAAATGTTTATGAAGAATCTCACTTTTTAGAGAATGTCGTTAAATTAAATTAAATTAAACTGTGAAGTGTCGGATAATTTATAAAGAATCTAACCTACAAAAAGTCTCTCTAGCAGGTGTAATTCTCAATAGTTTACTTCTTTGATTTTTAGTAAATATAATAATTTACTAAAATTTAACGGTTAAAAAGGAATAGTATACCAATAAAATTCCCAACGTAACCCAAATTTCTTATGTTATGCCACCTCGACGACACCATCACACCTTTTTTTTGGTTGGGATCAGAATACACAATGCTACATTATGTATTATTATACAAATAATAAGACATTTGTGTCAAAAAATTAATAATTTTAAAAATAAAATGTTTCACCGCTTATATAAAAATATGTGATATATATTTCGATCATAATGAAAAATTTATCTTATCAATCCTTCCATCTTTTGACAAAATACCTGCCTAACTTGGCTCCAATCTGTCCACGTGTCGGCACGTGTCCCTTGCTTCCTACGCCGACCTTGGGGGGTTAAAGCACGCATGGAAAACGCCTCGCAGACTTTCGATAGAGCTGCGAAGATCCGCCTTTCGCGCCAAATTTTTTTTTTCATCTCGCCTTCTTCTGACACGCGTCCGGTTACGGGATGAGTTACTACAGTAATATTCTGACGGTTCATGCACCGAAACCTCTCGGAACCTTACTCGTTATCGGATAAGGTCGGCCGCAGGATAATGTCGAACTTTAAAAGGGGGCGCGTGGCAGCTTTTAAACGGTGTGAAACTCTAGTGGGCCCCAACCATCCTGCAGCACGACAAATGGAACGTATTTATCCCCCTTCCCTGCTCCGCTATATATATAACCGCCATATCTCGGAAATCGAAAAAAAAAGAAAAAGAAATAATATTTGGGGATTTGGAAACTTCAGAAATTTCAAATCTCTCTCTCCCCTCTGTTTCAACTTCTCTTTCTCTCGAATCTTCCCGATCCAGTTTCGAGCTCGGAAATTTGTCACCGGAATAATGGGTGTGCCGGAAACCGACCCTCTTTCTCAGCTGAGCCTGCCGCCGGGGTTTCGATTCTATCCGACGGACGAGGAGCTTCTGGTTCAGTACCTCTGCCGCAAGGTTGCTGGGTACCAATTCAATCTGCAAATAATTGCTGAAATCGATCTTTACAAGTTTGATCCTTGGGTTTTACCAAGTAAGAACCAGAATCCAATTTTTAATTTTACTGTTTTATCAGCACCCACTTTTGAAATGTTTAACGTGGTGGTAAATTGAACTAAATTCGATGTTGGTTTTGCAGGCAAAGCGATATTTGGGGAAAAAGAATGGTACTTTTTCAGTCCGAGGGACCGGAAATACCCAAATGGGTCGCGACCCAATCGGGTTGCTGGGACCGGGTACTGGAAGGCAACTGGAACTGATAAGGTTATTACAACTGAAGGTAGAAAAGTTGGGATTAAAAAAGCACTTGTTTTCTATGTGGGAAAAGCCCCAAAAGGCACCAAGACCAACTGGATTATGCACGAGTATCGCCTCATCGAGCCCTCTCGCAAAAATGGCAGCTCCAAGGTAAATATTTAATTTAATTCGTGTTTTGTTGTATTTTATTAAATTATTCAAGTGATTGCTTTTTAAAATTTATTTCGATTGAAATTCTAAACTAAATTTTGGATTGCAGTTGGATGAATGGGTTTTGTGTCGTATTTACAAGAAGAGCAGCAGCTCAGCAGCGGCTGCGGCAGCGGCAGCACAGAAGCCCGTTACGAGCGTTTCGAGCAAAGAGCACAGCAACGGCTCGTCGTCATCGTGCTCTTCTCAGCTCGACGACGTGCTCGAGTGGTTGCCGGATATTGACGATCGGAACTTCACCCTGCCCCGGATAAACTCGCTCAAGACGCTGCTGCAGCAGCAGGAGGACAGCAAGATTATTTTCAGAACACCGGTTCCGGGAATTTCGACTGGGCGACTCTCGCCGGGCTCAACTCGGCGCCAGAACTCAATCTCAATAATCAGACTCAGCAAGGCCAAGGACAAATGAATTTCAATTTCAATAACAATGACGTGCCTCCCTTCAACCCCACCTCTCTGCCACGTGGAATGGCCGCCGGAGAGTTTGGGAAGACGGCGGAGGAGGAGGTGCAGAGCGGACTCAGAACTCAGCGGGTGGATAACTCCAACTTCTTCCAGCAACACTCTCAGAACGTTTGTTACCCGGTCCGGCCCAGCGGGTTCGGGCATTGGCAGTAAAGGCAAAAGCCAGAAGTCGAAAATAAATGGAAGCAGCAAAGGACCGAGGCCCGAGGGAGTGCATTTGGGTAGAAAATCCACGTAGGAGTGCATTTCTGTAAATAATTTGGATTTTTTGGGCTAACATTTTGGGGTTAAATTATAAAAAAAAAGTCTGGGAGGGGGTGGCATGAAAAAAGTGGATGGAGATTTGTCCGTTGTTTTTGCTAGTTTGAGGCCGCAGATTCAACCAACTCGAAACAAAGAATCTTTGTATAACAAAATTACGGCAGTTAGAATGTAATATCCAGTTGTCAGAGAAAAACCGGTCAAAATTTGCAGCTTCTGCCATTCATGGGAAATAGTATTCTTTCAAAAGTCAAATTCTAACGGTGATTGTTGATTTGTCACCAAATCAAATTATAATTGCGTCATCCTATTCTTTTTAACTTTCAACTCAATCCTCGTCCTAAAGCGTCTCTTTTTAGTCTAGCTTAATTTAATTTTGCTTTTTTTAATGTAATCTTAGCTTAAGTCTATCTTGGAGCAGAAATACCATTTGTAACATAAGAAATGAACGCTAATATTACAAAATCGTCCAATTATTATGTATGTTCAGGATAAGTGGCTTTAAAGCATCTCCAAATGAGATGTTAATATGTCTAAATTAGTAATAACAGTACAACAACAACAAAGCCTTTTCCCACTAAGTGGGGTCGGCTATATGAATCCTAGAACGCCATTGCGTTCGGTTTTGTGTCATGTCCTCCGTTAGATCCAAGTACTCTAAGTCTTTTCTTAGAGTCTCTTCCAAAGTTTTCCTAGGTCTTCCTCTACCCCTTCGGCCCTGAACCTCTGTCCCGTAGTCACATCTTCGAACCGGAGCGTCAGTCGGCCTTCTTTGCACATGTCCAAATCACCGGAGCCGATTTTCTCTCATCTTTCCTACAATTTCGGCTACTCCTACTTTACCTCGGATATCCTCATTCCCAATCTTATCCTTTCTCGTGTGCCCACACATCCCACGAAGCATCCTCATCTCCGCTACACCCATTTTGTGTACGTGTTGATGCTTCACCGCCCAACATTCTGTGCCATACAACATCGCTGGCCTTATTGCCGTCCTATAAAATTTTTCCCTTGAGCTTCAGTGGCCTACGACGGTCACACAACACGCCGGATGCACTCTTACACTTCATCCATCCAGCTCGTATTCTATGGTTGAGATCTCCATCTAATTCTCCGTTCTCTTGCAAGATAGATCCTAGGTAGCGAAAACGGTCGCTTTTTGTGATCTTCGCTAGATTGCTCCGGTCATTAGTGTGGATAAGTATATAAATGGATAGAGATAGGAAAGCAAACACAAGATGTACGTGGTTCACCCAGATTGGCTACGTCCACGGAATAGAAGAGTTCTCATTAATTGTGAAGGGTTTACACAAGTACATAGGTTCAAGCTCTCCTTTAGTGAGTACAAGTGAATGATTTAGTACAAATGACATTAGGAAATATTGTGGGAGAATGATCTCGTAATCACGAAACTTCTAAGTATCGGAGTGTGGTGTCGTCTTGACTTGCCTTATCTGTCTCATAGGTAGATGTGGCATCTTCTCTGGAAGTACTCTTCCTCCATCCAGGGGTGGTATCTTTAACTGGTGGAGATGCACAAGGTAATGTATCAATTTCACTTGAAGCTTACTTGTAGTTTCAGGCTTGGTCAAGCGCGATACAAACCATGTAGTAGGAGTCCCCCAAGTCGCCGAGCTAGGGGGTCTGCTGAAAGAGGTGACAGACAAGGTAAGCAATCAGAGCTCCGACTGATTGTTCACCTTCTCCCCATCTTGCAGCAGCATGAAGGATAAAGAGAAGAAAAATGAGAAGAGATGATATGAGATACTTTTGCTTTTGAAGAAGTAACTTTCCACAGGCTTATTCTTGAACTGAGCTGGAGGGTTTTCTGGTTTCCTCCAGAGTATAAGGCCGACTGAAGAATTTGAGGGTCAAAACAAGTCCATCAAATCTAGAGTACGTTCCACCCTGCTGATATGGGATACTTTTGCTTTTGACAGAGTAATGGATGTATCGGCACGTGTGCTGTTACGCTTGTCTCCACATGCTTCCTTGTATCCTTCGCACTTGCCCTATCTGTTCCTCAAGCAGATGCGGAATCTTCCCTGGAAACATAAGATGTTGAAGATGAGTACTCGAGAGCAATGCCAGGTAAGTAATCAGGTAAGGGGTTCCAGGCAGTCAGTTCCTGGCTGGAAGCTTGATTCCAAGTGCTGACTGATTGCTCTCTTTCTCCTTGTCTTGCAGGTAAAAACAAGGCCAAAAGGAAAAGACAGGGAAAAAGCATGATATGGGATACTCTTGCTTTTAACCCTGATGATATGAGATATTCTTGCTCTAGTATAGCTTGTTTGCAGAGGTATTATCGGGGGGAAAGAAAGCTGAATATTTCGAAAGGCTTCGTTGGGAGTGCCCTCTCAGATATGATGAAGGGTTGAGCATTTTTTTGCAGGTCTGCCTGTCCGTTGGGGATGGAGGTCGACATATATAGGAGTCTCCCTAACAACAAGTAGTAATGCTATTCCTTTACCCTGCTTGGTCATAGCACGGTAGTGGGAGCTGCCAGTTTCACATGTTTTAACTCTGTCAGAGCACTTTGAAAAAGTGGTCTGTGGTATCTGGCTCTCGAGATTCGGAGAACGATGCCTCTTCGATTTTTGAGAAAGCAATCATGCTGGGGGTCTGGCTCTCGAGATTCGGAGAGCAGTGTCTCTTTCGATTTTTGAGGAAGTAATCATGTTGGGAGTCTGGCTCTCGAGATTCGGAGGGCGGTGCCTCTTCGATTTTGGAGCAAGCAATCTTGTTGGGAGTGTTGTCTCGAATGTGAGTAAAGGTTGGGCATGTTTGCTAGTCTACCTTGCCACGAAGCACAAAGGTTGACACACAGGGACTTTCCAATTATCCAGCAATGGTACTGTTCCTTTACCCTCTCTTCGATTTTGAGAAAGTAGTCATGTTGGGAGTCTGGCTCTCGAGATTCGGAGGACGGTGCCTCTTCGATTTTGGAGCAAGCAATCTTGTTGGGAGTGTTTTCTCGAATGTGAGTAAAGGTTGGGCATGTTTGCTAGTCTACCTTGCCACGAAGCACAGAGGTTGACACACAGGGACTTTCCAATTATCCAGCAGTGGTACTGTTCCTTTACCCTTGTGGGTAATAATATGGTAGCTAGACCTTCAAAATTTATGTGTCTAAACTTTGTTAGTGCTGTTTCTTTGCTATTCTTTTACCTTTCTTGGTCAGAGCGATGTAGTGGGAGCTGCAAGCTTCACGTGCTCAACTTTGGCAGAGAACTTTGGCAAAGTTATCTGTGGTACCCATGAGCTATTGTTGCGTGTGGGAAGTGGGTGATTGAACAGTAAGATTCATGTGCTTTCTACTTCACCAGAAGTCTTCGACAGAATGCCCATAATTTCTGCAAAGCTGAGTGTGCGTGTGACAGGTGCTGACAAGGCTAGAAAAGTAGGTGCCTCTTCGATTTCTGAGATCGGCCCTCGTGGTCTCTGAGCAGCCCAGCTTTTGAGAAAGCGAGCGCCTCTTCGATTGATTCGGAGAACGATGCCTCATCGATTTTTTGAGAAAGCAATCATGCTGGGGGTCTGGCTCTCGAAGATTCGGGGAGCAGTGTCTCTTCGATTTTTGAGAAAGTAATCATGTTGGGAGTCTGGCTCTCGAGATTCGGAGGGCGGTGCCTCTTCGATTTTGGAGCAAGCAATCTTGTTGGGAGTGTTTTCTCGAATGTGAGTAAAGGTTGGGCATGTTTGCTAGTCTACCTTGCCACGAAGCACAGAGGTTGACACACAGGGACTTTCCAATTATCCAGCAATGGTACTGTTCCTTTACCCTCTCTTCGATTTTTAAGAAAGTAGTCATGTTGGGAGTCTGGCTCTCGAGATTCGGAGGACGGTGCCTCTTCGATTTTGGAGCAAGCAATCTTATTGGGAGTGTTTTCTCGAATGTGAGTAAAGGTTGGGCATGTTTGCTAGTCTACCTTGCCACGAAGCACAGAGGTTGACACACAGGGACTTTCCAATTATCCAGCAGTGGTACTGTTCCTTTACCCTTGTGGGTAATAATATGGTAGCTAGACCTTCAAAATTTATGGGTCTAAACTTTGTTAGTGCTGTTTCTTTGCTATTCTTTTACCCTTCTTGGTCAGAGCGATGTAGTGGGAGCTGCAAGCTTCACGTGCTCAACTTTGGCAGAGAACTTTGGCAAAGTTATCTGTGGTACCCATGAGCTATTGTTGCGTGTGGGAAGTGGGTGATTGAACAGTAAGATTCATGTGTTTTCTACTTCCCCAGAAGTCTTCGACAGAATGCCCATAATTTCCGCAAAGCTGAGTGTGCGTGTGACAGGTGCTGACAAGGCTGGAAAAGTAGGTGCCTCTTCGATTTCTGAGATCGGCCCTCGTGGTCTCTGGGGAGCCCAGCTTTTGAGAAAGCGAGCGCCTCTTCGATTTCTGAGATCGGCCTTCGTGGTCTTTGAGCAGCCCAACTTTTGAGAAAAGCAAACGCCTCTTCGATTTCTGAGATCAACCCTCGTGATCTCTAAGCAGCCCAGCTTTTGAGAAAAGCAAACGCCTCTTCGATTTCTGAGCAGGCGCCTCTTCGATTTCTGAAGCTCCGTCGAGTGCAGATTTTTATATAGGGGCTGGCATTAAGTTCCAAAGCACACTTGAATCTCCACCAGTAGAAGCTTCATTCTTGCACTTCTAAGATCTTGATTTGTCCGACCTCTTCTCTCTTCAACACCTTTGAAAATGTCTGGCCCCTCCGACCGTCGTTTTGACTTGAACCTTGTTGAAGAGGCAGCCCCGCCTTCTCCAGACAACATATGGCGCCCATCCTTCGTCTCCCCTACTGGTCCTCTTACCGTTGGGGATTCCGTGATGAAGAATGATATGACCGCTGCGGTGGTGGCCAGGAACCTTCTCACTCCCAAAGATAACAGACTACTTTCCAAACGGTCTGATGAGTTAGCTGTTAAGGATTCGCTGGCTCTCAGTGTTCAGTGTGCAGGTTCTGTGTCTAATATGGCCCAACGCCTATTTGCTCGAACCCGCCAAGTTGAATCATTGGCGGCTGAAGTGATGAGTCTCAAACAGGAGATTAGAGGGCTCAAGCATGAGAATAAACAGTTGCACCGGCTCGCACATGACTATGCTACAAACATGAAGAGGAAGCTTGACCAGATGAAGGAAACTGATGGTCAGGTTTTACTTGATCATCAGAGATTTGTGGGTTTGTTCCAAAGGCATTTATTGCCTTCGTCTTCTGGGGCTGTACCGCGTAATGAAGCTCCAAATGATCAACCTCTGATGCCTCCTCCTTCTA